ACTCCAGTAATTACCCAAAAAAGTATACGATATGATTTTAAACGACCGACGTTAAAGTGCGTGAAACTGCAGAGTCTATGGCCACTTTGAAAGAGTGTGTGGGCGATATTTCGATTTAAGAATTAAATATGAAAAAAAGTTGCATGTAAGGCGGATGCAGCATTTGCTTTCAAACCGCATCCGTATGTAAATTTCGGCGAACTGTTTGAAGCGTTTTTACAGGAATACTACTGATTTTGTGTCGATGCGTGCCGATTTGTTACTTTGGTTAGAACATGGCTTTGGCTTTACCATTACACGCCTGAATCAAAACAGCAGTCAAAATAGTGGACAGAGGCCCGTCAGCAGAGAAGGTTATGGCCTCGGGTCTTATGGCATGTTATTGTATTTAAAAAAAAAATTATCTTAAAAACGGTAAAAAAATTAACTTGCAAATATTACGCTAAACTTTTAAATCAGTAAAAAGAAAAAATTTGCGAGAAAAGGCTTGCAGGAAAAAAAGTTCATTGCTGATCAGAACAATACCCCGGTACACAAGAATGTTATACCGATGGGAACAATAAGGACTTTAAATTATGAATTGGTGGAAAATGCGCCCTATTTGCTCGATTGGGCTCCCTCCGACTTCCAGCTGTCCCCCTTAAAACCGGCTAGTGTTTTTCGTCTAATGTTGAGTCCATCACAGCTGTACAGGGGTATTTTGCAGGTCTTATGCAAACTATTTTAGGGATAAAGATTATGTACAAAGCACACCAGAATTAAGAGTTAGCTCAAAGCTTGGGGTCCATGACCCGTAAACACAAGGTCGCATTTCGTTTTCCACCATCGCGGTTCTTCTTTACGGTTTTGGTGGATTGCATATTAACCTCGCCCTCTTCTTTCCATCCAAGCTAAGAAGTCAGATTTATAGGAGTTTGATAAGTACTTCGGTGGGTGACCACAGTGGCTACCAGGTACTTATTTCTCCCTTTAGACACTCCGGATGGACAATACGCGACTGATGTAATATATGTGATTACTGATTGAGAGCTCGAGTATTCCAAATCTTTAACTCAATTAAGCACTAGGAAAGTCATATAAATAAGTAAACCCACAACGAAAATTATTTTCCCTCTGTTGTGTTCATTGTATACAAGGTACTCCTGCTAAATAAATTTCCACGAGCGAAAGCCTTATATGCCGGAAACATGGCGAGTAATTCGCCGTTAAACACTTGTAATGCTAAACTGCCAATTCCAGCGCTATGTCAAGTCCAACAGAGTACCATTCATTACGCGAAGAGCTTTAGATCTTCTTCCATGCTAAGGAACGGATGGGGAGCAATGTTTAAGAATTATTATCGAATATACAGGTTGCACGCGGGATGCAGGCCAGCTATAAATTTTTTTTTTAGTTTAGTTTCAGTTTTTGTAAATATTTTTTTATGTGACAGCGTTCTGTCAAGATATGACACACCCTTCTCTGCTTTGGCATTCGGCTTGCCGTTACTAGCTTACTTGGTTTACCTACAATTGTTTTGCGTCTGGCAAGCACCCTAGGGTTTCTGCGAAGCGCCATTGTTTTGAAGATCCCTCAATTCAAAAACTGGTCATAAAGGTTCTTATGAGAGCAAATTACTACGATGCATTTCTTAGCTTAGAAGGTCATAAACGACAATGTTCTCAACTACTTATAATTTACAAATAATGTACCAGCGAGCCAAAGATATGCACACACAATAAATAAAGATTCTTCTAATATGCGTTTCTTTGTCTTATAGCTGTTTGTTTCTTCAGGGCATTACAATAGTTTCAAACTTAAACTAAAAACAAACTAAAAGAAAATTAGTAATTTTTAAAGGGTTGTTAGAAATGCTTGAAAATAGTATTTACTGAAACACTTTACTTTAAACTTTATAATCAAAGCAATTAAACAAAGCTCTTACAATAGGTTAACTGGAAAAGCAACTGTCTGACTTTCTTATGAGCAAAAAAAACTAGAAAAGGAAAGATAGTAATAAAGTTAAACTCTATTTTTATTTGTATACAACGGCCTTTATTTAAAACTCCGTCATATAATAATAAAAGTGGGCTGGGGTACGCGTTTGCTCTTGACTTTTTTTCATAAATTATATACATATAATAATTAATTAGCAACCATTTAACATTTTAGAAAATCTGTTTTAAAAATGTCAAGATTAATTTAATTGCTTTAAAATGGGTAACAAATCTTTTTATTTTTCGTAATTACAGCATTATTTTAAGCTTAAATTATACATAATATATTCAAAAATGGTTAATCAAGTTGTTAACCTAGACAGAAAAAGGTCAGTTTTTAATTCTTTAAGGTAATAACCCCTCTAAAAGGCGGGGGCTAAGTGGGGTTTTTTTTAGTTGGTGCGACCCCAGTGCTTCTTGCTTGGGCGAAAGCTATTAAAGATGGGGCTCAGAGACTGCTTAACGATCTTCTCTAGAATTAAAATGGTGCTGCCGACTTAGAGAAATGAAGAAAGAGGAGAAGAAGAGAAGCCTAGAAGACCAATCTTATTTTTAGGGATTTTGTCACATATTTTGGTTATTATTTCATTAAATTTTTTTACCCAGAATATTCAGGATTATATTTAAATTTTTAAAACCCAGAGTGGCAGCATTGTTTTTTACCTGTTAAAATTTCACTGCGGAGTTAGAAGAACTATAAGCAGCGGGAGGAATTTTAAACTTTTTATGGTTCAAAAGTAAAAGGTAATATACTTTGCCTGTCTGCAGAAGCTTAAAGTTAACAAAAAAGTAGTTAAAAGTTTAAAAGGCGAGGAGGCCTCCCTTTCAACACCTCCACGTGGTGAAACGCTTTGTTTGGAGTTGAAGTATTGCATTACTTTTATGGCTAATTGCATGGGAATACTTTACTTTTTTAACTTGACTAAACTAATAGAACAAACTTTAAAGTTAAAAAAAATTCTTGCTAAATGCATCAGTTTAAATTAATTTGTTTTTATTATTATTATTTTCTATATTCTTTAATATAATTATGCAACTTCGACTATAGAAAAATTTTAATATTTTAAGATTTTAAGCTAATGAGAAGTCTGCATAACCTTATGAAGTTTTAAGTTCGTGCTGCATAGAAATTTAACTGGAATGTACCTTTGATGTGCATTATCAGGTTTTTAAAAAAAATATGGAAGGGTAAAATTTGCTGCAAAATCGAGAAAAATTTTTAGTATAAATTATCTTCAAGCCTGTTTAAAAAAATAATTAACACTTTAAACAAAGCTCTAAGTAGTAACAACAAGGATGTCGGGGGGAAAAAAGTAGCGAGAAAGAAAATTCTATTAATTTTTTGACTCCACTTTTTTGATTGCGCAGCTTTATCAATTATTTACTGTTTATCCAGTTCATCTTCCAATTGGTCTTGCCTATATTGTGCTTCACAAATATGTATAGTAGTGTTACCCCTGTCACCTCCGCATATTAATATATTGTCACTGCTATACAATCATAATAATATAGAAAGTTAAGAAAACTTTTAGAGAGTTAAATATGGGCACAAAAAATTGAAAGGGGAGGAAGTACAGGTTAAATGTTATAAACTTCTATTCCAATTCTTGGTTTATAAATAGAACTCTAAGTATAGTCCGGCTGCAAAAAAGTTTATATATATTCAGATCCATCCAGGCTTCTTCCTTTTAAGCTTAAGGCAATATCAATTGATGTTAGCATATATATCATTAGGGGTCAGTTATCACATATGTAACATTTTTCTGTTAGAGGAATTGTTTATATTTAAAGCTTATTTTTATGCGTACTAAAAAGATTTGAACATGGTTTTTTTTTAAAAATAATGGATCAAGTGGAGTAAAAGTTTATGGAAGCAATAGAAGCTGGTAACAAGTTTCTTAATTTTCTTGTTCTTTGTTATTTAATAATTTTTAAGAAAACTTCAAAGCATTTAGTACACTACGTGTTGTGGGATAGCCTAGTAAACTTGAAAGTTTTTGACGAAAAGATTTCGAGTATCAAGAAAATGTTTTTTTATGCCAGTATGAACGGGATGAGGGTAGCTCCTTCTTATGTTTATAAGAAAATTCTCGTAAGCAGACGAATTCATGAAAAGTTTAAGCTATAAACACTTTAATGTAACTGATCTTAACCAATTTTCTTTTCTAGAAACTTATTTGAAATTACCTTTAGTCTAGTTTATCAGGATATCTCTAGTGTACTAATGTTATTCCCTCACAAGAGTAGTTTTCAACTTTTCAGGGATAACAGAGTTGCAAAACTTTTCCATCAATATACTTAATAACCCACACTTAAAAAAAAATTCTGTAGGAGACCATAAAAATATTCATTGCGAAAACAGAATTTTTAAGACTTTTGAAATAAAATTAAGACTAATTCCTTAACGCGCGTAAGGAAAAACCCCGTTAAAATTTTGTATCCATTACTAACCTATTTCTTTTTTAAAATTTCTTTATACTTCTTATAAAAAGCTCTTCTTTTTTATATAAGTAAAATGTTTATTATTATATTTAATTGGAGACAGAGTGGCTCGTGATAAAAAAAGTGAAGTATAAAAAGACGTTTCTTTTTTTAAACATTTCTTAATACATTTAATAAAAGTTCTTTTTATACAAAAGTTTTGAGTTTGATATACAATTAACTAAAGCAGAGTAGTTCGTTACTGTATACTAAAATAAGTATGATTCTTATTAAAAGTTCAGGATTACTAAATTTTTTTACTTTAATATAAGAGAAAAAAGTTAAACAAAATTAAATACAGGAGTCTAAAAATCTGAAAATTATAATACATTCAATTTTTTCTTAGTTTTAATAATAATTTTGAACAATTTTCTTTTAAATTATATATAAAAGAAGTAAAAATCATTTATAAAAAGTTCTACAAGACTTGCAATAGTGTAAAACTATTTACAATCCTTCAAAACAAAAACGTACAAAATCTTTAATAATTAATGAATTAAAATATTTTTTTTTTTAGTAAATAAAATAAAAATAAGAGTTAGACTAAAATTTATTTTTTCCGAAAAAAATAAGCAACGCAGAAACGTTGTCTGAACTTCCGCGCTTCACCGCCTCGTTGACGAGCGCCTTCACTGCCATTTGCACCTGCAAGCAAAAAAAAATTGTAAACGTTTTTATAATTTTTTATAAAACAATACTAATAAAAATCATATTTTCTTTCATACTAAAATAGTTTAAAAATACAAAAATATTACAAAAATAAATCTTTAAAAAAATTTTGTAAATAAAAATTACTAATTAAATTTAAGTCTTTACTAATTTCTTATATTCTTTTATTAAATGAAATTAATATTCTCTCTTCTCTATATAAATCTTTCATAAATTTTTTAACTTAGAATTTTATTTTCTTTGAGATGAATTTTGAAATAAACATTATCTTTTTCAAATTTAATTTTTTTTGGTTAAATTATTATTATTTTCAAAACTAAATTATTAAAAGTAGAATTAATATAAATTTAAATTTTTATATACAAATTTTTATAATTATTCTCTAAAATAAGTTTATTGCTTACTCTTATTAAAAAAGTAATTATCATGCCAATTAATATCATATTAACTTTATTTTTTTATTAATCTAAAAACTATAATCGTATATTTTTTACTAATTCTTTTTAAATTTTATTTTATAAATAGAAAATAATATAGTTTTATAAAACAGTCATCTTCCGGTAGCGGACGGTTCTCTGGACTTTATACTTCACACGCTCCTCAACGGAAAGCAAATTTTCGTCGGGCAATTGGAGATCCTAAAATAGTTTCTTTTTATAATAAATTTAAATACTAAATATTATAATAATACAAACTATTAATATAAATAATAATAATATTTTAAGTAAAAAGTAAAAAAAGTTTATAAATAAAATAAGCTAATTTTTTATATAAAAAATTATCACGTTTTATATTTTGATATGAAAACTCTCAACACTAATAAAATATTATAAAAAAGTAAATTTCATTATAAAAGTTGTTTTTTTAAAAAAATAATAACTGGAAAGTCAGAGTAAATAATAATACTACTTATAAGAGTTTTATAACTATAAATAAAAAATTATAATAATATAAACTGTTATAAGAAAAAAATAATAAAAAGTTAGAACTAAAAAAAATTTACTTACCAAATTTAAAAAAATTTAAATTTTATATGAAAAGTTATTGAAGTAAATGATATAAAACAATTAATTTTAATATAAAAGGTTATAATATAAACTTTTTTTTAGTAAATTTTTATTATATAAACTGAAATAATTATAATAAGTAAATTCAAGTAGAAAAAATATCAGTATAGAAAATTGTAATAATTATAACTTTTTAATAAAATTATTATAAATATCTTTATAAAAATAGAAAATATAAAATTTATATATAAAGGTTCATAATTATCAACTTTGAAAAGTAAATTTACTTATTAAAAATAAATTATAATTATTATTTATAAAAAAATTAATATTTTATAAAAAATAAATACAAGAATTTTATAAATAAAAACTCAAAAGTAAAAAATTAGAGTCAAAATGAATAAAAAAGTTATAAAAAAATTGTTTAAGTAAAAAAAATAGAATTTATAATAAATATAAAAATGAATAATTATTACTAAAAAAAGCTCGAAAGTCAAGTAATTTACTCGTCCTAAAATAAAAAAACAAAAAATATTTCTTTGTCACAAAATAATAAAAAAATAAAAAATAAAAAAAAATTTTGAGAACAAAAAATAATAATAAAAAATTAAACTAAAAAAAATTATAAAAATATAAAATATAAAATTATTAATAAACAAATGAATATTAAAAAAATTTAGAAAAATATATAATATAAAAAATTTTAATAGATAATAATAAATATTTAAAGAATATTAAAAAAAATATAAAATTTATAAAAATGTAAAAAAAAAAAGAAAAAACCTGCTGCTCTAAAATTTCTTCGACTGCTTGATGAGTAGATTCTGCAGAAAGAAAATCACCAACAAACTTAACAACCTTAAAAATAATAATTAAAATAGTATTAATAATAATAAATAATATAAAAAAATTATTAATAATAACAATTATACAATAGAACTATAGATTAAGAAATATGTAAAATAGAAAAAACGAGTAAAATTTATAATAAGAAATAATAATAAAAATAAAAAATCAATATAAAAAAATAATACTAATCTTATAAAAATTATTTTATATAGGTAAATATTATCAAAAATATAAAAAAATTAATATTTTATTAGAAAAAAATAAAATAAATGTGTAAAATTTGTAATAAGATATAATAATAACATTAATGAATAATAAAAAATGGTTCTAATAAAAAAGTAAATTTTGAAAATTATATATTATTAATATTAAATAAATAATGATGTACATGTAAACTTTATTATAATAATAAATATATATAAATAAAAAAAGTATAAAAAATATCAATAATAGTAACTGAAAAATAATAACTAATAAAGTTCTAATTGTAATAGCAAATAAAAAAAAAAAGTATAAATAAAGTAAAAAGTATATAATAAATATCAGTGATATAGTAGTGATAGTAGTAACAAAGTTTATAGATAATAACCAGTCTATATATAAGAATAATAAATTTAATATTGAAAAAAAAAGTTTTAATAATAAAACTATAAACAAAAATATTATAAAATACAACAATAAAAACGTTTCCTCTATAAAAATAAACAAGAAAAGGTTTATAATAAAAACACCAATAATTACGTTTTCACACTATTATTTATAGAAAAAATAAATAGTAGTTGTAACATTTTTATATAACTTAAAATATATAATAAAAGAATATTAATAAAAAAAAAATAGAATAAAAGTTTTATAATAATATTTATATATAAAAAATAAAAAGTTTTCTATCGAAACTGACGTCCTGCTTCTGCATTTTGCTCCAAAGTCCATCGCAGCCGAGAATAACAAAGTGGGGATGAAGTTCTGAATAAAAATGTATTAGTACTTAACAAAAGGAAAAGTATAAAAAGATTAGAATAAGAATATAATATATAAAGAAAATAAGAATAATAATTAAAATAGTGGTAATAAAAATATATAAGTTATACGATTAAGTATACTGTTACATAAAAATAATAATAATAAATAGTTAAAGAAAATAATAATCATAAATAGTATAAAATTTATTAATAATTAAAAATAATAAAAATAGTTTTTTAAAAAATATATAATTTTATATAAAGTTCAATAATTAATATTATTAATGAAAACAGTATAAAGTATAATAAATATATATCAAAATACTACACAGAATTAACAATAAATAAAAATTAATATAATAATTATCAATAATGTATATAAAAATATAAAAAATACTAAAAAAAATAGTAGTAAATAATAAAGAATATTAAAAAAATATATAAAATAGTATAATAAAAAAATATTTTAGTAATAATAATTAAAGTAAAATAGAATATTTGCTTCCATAACATGTAAGTATAGAATTTTAATAATAAAAATTAATAAATAATAAATTATTGTATATAATTTTCAATATATATCAAATGATAATATAAAATATATAAAATTATGATAAAATAAACATGAATGATTACAAAAATTATATTTTCAATAATAAAAATAAGAGTATTGAAAAAGATGTAAAGATTTAATGTAATAATAAAATAATTCAAATGTAAATTATTATAAAAGTTATATTTTCTAATAAAAATACCAAAGTATTAAAAATATATAAACATTATATACATAAAAAACATTATTTTTATAAGAAAATATCGCGAACAATATTTTATTATAAAATTAACTATGAAAAAATATATTTTCAAGACAAAATTTACTTATTAATAAATATAATTATAAATTATAAGTCACAAAATTCTTAAATAATTAAAAAAAATATATTTTATTATATATCCAAAAGTATGATTTATTAAAGATATTTATAATATATTCTCAAATAAATATAACAAACAAGTAAATAAGTATAGAAAATAATGGTAATAAATAATAATAAAGTCTTTGTATTAATAAAAAGGTAAACCATTATAAATATAACAAAAAATATTATTTTTTTTATATTCATAAATGTATTATTATATTCATGCATATAATAAAAATATGGTTCATATATTTTTCATACACACGAAATATTTTTTTCCAAAAAAAAAATAACTTGTAAACTTTTATGCATAAAAAAATAAATTTTCCTTTAATAAATATAATAAAAGTTATTTATAAAAAACTTTCAGTGCTGAAATTATCAATTTTTATTTCCGGAGTGCAAATCACGCCGAGATGCTTAAAAGCGGCGTCTCCCTTAAAAAAAAATAATAAATATAAATTTAGTAAAAAAAAATTAAAAAAATATAAAACTTTTATAAAATGAATTTATAATAAAAATAAATTTTTTAATATAAAAATGTAAAAATTAATATATAAAAGTAGAAATATTTTATATATTTTTTATAAAAAATAAATATTGTAAATTTTGTATTAAAATAAAAAATAAAAATACTAAAATTCACTTTAAAAAAAATTATATAAAAATATATTTTCTTCAAAATATTAAAATAGATTTAAAAGTTGCAAAGAATATGAAAATTTTATAATAAAAAATATAAATTTTTTACACAAAAAATTTATTTATTATGTAATTTTAACGCAAAAATAATAATATAAATATAAAATTTTTAAAATATTAAAATTTTATTATGAAAATTTATAAAAATAATTTTTAAAAAAATTTAAATATTTATTATAATTTTTAGTGCAAAAATATTAAAATAAATAAAAGTCTAAAAGAATTTTTTATTTTTATTATAAAATTTTATTGTATACAAAAATATATAAAAAATTGGAAATATTTAATAAAATTTTCAGGCAAAGTTATAAGAATAAAAAAAATAAATAATATATTATAGAAATGTTGTATACAAAAAAATAATTTAATAAATAATAATATATATAAATATATTAAAAAGCGAAAGAAGTATATAAATAAAACATTAAATATATATAAGTCTGAAGAATGTAAAAACTTATATTAATAATTTTGTATAATAATAAAAAAAAATTTAAAATTTATAAATTTTGCATTTAAAAAATAAAAATTTTCGTGCGAAAATATTAAACGTATTTTGTATCGTAATGAGAATATAAAAAAATATAATAAAAAATAACGATCAAAAATAGATACAACAATATTTTTTTATTATAGAAAATTTAATACAAGAAAAAATATAAAAGTCTAAATGATTTTAATTTTTGTATACAAAATAAAAAAAAATTATATTTACAGAATCAAAAATATTCAAAAAAATTTTTTATGGTTTTTCTTTAGTTTGTGTACAATAAGAAAAAAAATAGAAGAAAAAATATTAAATTATACAAAATAATAAACATCGTTTAACTTAATTATTAACAAATTTCATTTCTTTTATAAATGTTTAGTAGATTTTATATATTTCTATTTTATTTTTCTGCTTTTTTATCATATTATCATTAACTTTCATCGCATTTATATGTTTTTACTACATAATAATAATAAAATATTTGTTTATTTAAATTTATTTTATTATTATTTATTATAATATCTATAATAATTATTATTTTTTCCAATTATTTATTATAGTATAATTGATATTCATCACGCTTATATATCGTTTTACCCTCTTCTTATAAAAAATATATTTTTTTTTCGTATTTATTATCTTTTTTAGTTTACAAATAGTTTATATATTTATTTATTCTTTCCTTCTTATGATTATAATAATGTTTTATTTTTATTTATTTATTTCATTCTCTTTATATTCATAATAGCCATTAATATTAGTTTATTATTTTATTTTATTTTTAGTTTTTTATAATAAAAATTCATTTAAGTTTATTTCATTATTTAAATATCTTACCTAATATACAAAAATTATCAAAAAATGAATATTGATTAAGAAAAAATAAATTTATTAGTAATAAATCTTATTGTATATATATAATTTATAATACAAAAATAACAAAAATTAATATAATGATGTAATTTTTATAAAATTTTATTAAAAATAACAATAATAATAACAAGTAAACCAAAATTAAGATAGAAAATAAAAAAATTTACAAAAATTTAAAATTTAATAAATTAAAGTAAAATAAAATATCTGATATCAAAAAATAAAAATATAAGGAAATCAAAAAGTTGGAATGAAGATATTAATAAAATTATTTAATAAATAAAAAAACAAAAAAAAATTTATGAAATGAAAATAGTAAAAAAGAAAATTAATAACTTGACGTAAAATAAATTATAAATCTTCATTTCAAAATTAAAATATTTTCAAACTTAAAAGTAAATATAAAAAAAAAATTACTAAAACGAATTAATTTATAAAAAATAATAATAAATTTATTAAAAATTATTTATATTACTTTTAACTTTTTTTACTTAATATACGATTGTTAGTTATCCTTATACTATTTATCTTTCCTTTCTTTTCAATAATTATTATTTAATGACATAAACAAAAATAATAGTAAATATGGCATCATTAACAATAAATTGAAATAAAAATAACAATAAGCAAAATAAATAAAATAATAGAACTACGATAAATAATATTAATATAATAAGTTTAAATAACAATAATTATTATTATATTTACTTTCAGTTTACACTTTTACTATTACTATCTACTTTAAGAAGTAGTTTTTTCAAGTATACCTTTTATATATTTATATTAAAAACTTTTATTATTATTATTCCCTTTAACGATTAATTTTTATTACATACACTCTTCCTATAAATTTTAAATAAAAATTTTTATAATTATAGGAAAAAAAATAACAAACTATGGAACGTGAAACTTCGATAACTCCTTCCACACGGCCGTTTTTAACAGTTCCTCCCGCTTTTTGTATTCGCATGCGCTCAGAATAAACGCTCGCAGTGTGTTCTTTAGAAAGTGGGAAGCATTTCAAAGATCGGCAGTCTGAATTAAATTTAAAAATAATTATAATAGGAATAAAAAAAATGAAATAATATATAAATTAATAGATTTATTAAAAAAATATTATATTTAATATAAAATATAATTTTATTTATATAAAATAATAAAATAACAATTTACTTTATTAAAGAAAAAATATATATTCTTTAATAAAAACATTCAAAAATTTAATATTTAAATTTTACTTGAATAGGAATTTGTAGTAAAAATAAGTGAAAAATAAAAGTAAATAATATAATTTATAATAAAAGTTTACTGGAATTAAATGCGCTTCAATAAAAAAATTAAAAATTAAAATGCAAATATTTTATAAAACTTTATTTATACTTAATAAAGTTTAAAATTTTCTTTAAAAATATTTACGTATATAAGAAAAAGAGTTCGAATAAAAAAATAAATTATAACTCCATATCAAAAAGAGAAAAATAAAAAATAAAATTAAAGAAATCAAAAAATTAAAATAAACTACTTGGGTTAAAGTAAATTATAAAACCAAAAATATATAAAAATAAAATTTAGAAATGACGCAAAAGGTTATATATATAAATTTAATAATTATTAATTATAATAATAAAGAGTTTGATTAAGTAAACGTTGAAAGTGTTTCTTACCGGTTTCTGCTGCTAAAATAGCGGCACTGTCTCCGAGATTCGCAGTATAAAGTAAATCTCCATAAAGAAGAGCCACAACAGCTGTGCAGCCATCCTTTAAACGTTCCTTGAAAAAAAAAAATTCCAAAAAAATCCAAAAAAAAAATTATATTAATTACTTTTTGAACAATTTTAATAAAATCCGAGTTGGTTTGCTTAAAAGCGTCCAGTATGCAACGAGTAATATGCTTTGGAGAAAGTTCTATTATAATAATACAAATATATATAGAACTAAAGAGAATTACTCAAATACAAAAAACCTCCTGAAGAATTACATAACGCATCATCAGCATCCAAAAGGCCCTCCATCTTCATTTCAAGCATACTTTGGATATTGTTTAACAAATTCTTGTGAAGAACATTTTCACAGTACGTAGCAGCTTTGGCACCTATTACAATAAAAAGTAAATATATAATTATATAAAAATATTAAAGTTTAAAACCTGAATGGCCATCATAAACAGAGAAAAAAGATAAGCGTTTTCTTTTAAAGGCTTCTATTTTGCTATCATCTTTATCTTCCAAAGACCAAAGATCAATAACAATGGAGTGCGCATCTTGCATTTCATCTCGTTCACCTCTTTTTTAATATAATAACAAAAGAGAAATAATAAGGTAAGGAAAAAAATTACCGAGAACCTTCTACAAGCAGCGTGAGCGTACACATCATATGCGGGAGCCACAAATTTCAATATTTTATAATCATTACCAAAAAATCCAAGATGGCTATCTGGAGAAATCTCAGGAAATTTGACTCGGTACAAGTTGGGTTGAAAAACAGTTTCTTTATCCTCTTCTTCAGTACTTGATTCACTTTTTAAAGTTTTCGGATGATTATTTTTATGGATTGAAACATCCTTAATGAAAATTTAACAAACATATATCATAAGTAAGAAATAACAAACGATAAACCTCTGGAATATTTCTCTTTTCCGTCATTTACTATATTTTTGGATTCTAAAAAGAATCAAAGTGGAACAACCACGGCCCACCCAGCGTGCTTCTTTTCTTAGCCTAAAGCGATGAGGGTATAAGTCGATCATGTTTATCTGGAACTTAGAAGAGGTTTGCAGACTTTTCATGTTTAAAGTAAGCTGAATAACACATTTAGTTGAGCTTATTATGCTTAATAACTGTTTTTAACTATATATATAAAAAAAAGCTGCTTTCCGGTAGCTTTTCTACCGTATTCTTATTAGCGTACTTAGAATAACTTAGTAACAAAACTTGAATGATGCTTTAGCCTTTTATTATATGCCGTACTAGTAACTTTTATAATACATAAGTGGGCTCATTTCACTTTTAAAAAGAAAGTATTACTATTAAGCAAACAGCACCTATAAATATATTAACGTAAACTATTAATAACTTCAAAGACCGCGAAAATTACTTTCTAGAAAGAGTTCGGCGTAAAAGAAATCAGTATACGTATTAAAGTTTAAAAAAAAATTCACTATCTAAACAAACTTGTGGAGAAGTCTCTGCTTTTATTTCTTTTTAAAGGTTTTTGTGATATAAGGCTTTATATTGCATACCTTACATAATAATTAAAAATCCTTCCCACACAATTTATAAACTTGCTACTGTTCAAAGAAGATAAAAACAAAGTTTTCTCTAATATTGGTGTTATTATAATATAATTTGATATATAAAAAATGCATTGGGAAACTCAAAAAAGCTAACAATATAACGGACGAAAAAAAAAATTAAGCAAACAATTTACACCATACAAAAATACAGTTTATGCACGTGCTAGTATGAAAGGCATAGAAAAACGATAACTTTTTAAAAAATGTTACTTAACAGTTCACCTTTGCGTAGCAAATGCCAGCCGTTTCCTTCCTGTTTATATACTTTTCACGGATAAATTTAAATAAAATTTTTTTTAACTACTTATGCGCACGTCAAACAGTGAAGTTTTCTCCTATTAAAAGGTGTTCCCTTTTGTGTAATAACATTACTGTTGTAAATCGTATATCTGTAAAATTACCGTCACGAAATTACTGCGATTTTGGAGGGCTGATAGCATTAAAGTGTTTTAATAATGGTTTTATTTTAATAACACCATTTATTACTCAGAATGACTTACAAATATACCATCTATGCAGTAGACGGGAGTAGGTGGACCCCTTATGAAGACGAATTTTACACTTTTCATAAAAAGATGCGCAGAAGACATAAAAAGAGGAAGCACTGCCGTATTTTTTTTTTAAATACAGTTTCAAACCCTATTATTAATACTATATATTCATCAATGTATAAATTTTATTTTTAAAAGAATATAAAAGGCCTAAAGATGATCCACATTATTGGAAAAAAGTCTACAGGAAACAAAAGCAGAGGGCAGAAATTTTAAAAACTTTATATGCTCAGTTAGAACAAAAAAAGTCTAAAGACGATACCGCAACTATTATACAGGAGTCTTTAGTTTAATAGACTTATGCACTTTTTATGAAGTAATAACGTGTACTATCTATTTACAATATGTAAATATATTTTATCATCTGACTCCAAAATTATCTTAATATTTACGTTATATTTCATTGGTATTTAAAAAATTATAATTTTTGTGCCTTTTTAACACTTTTACTTTAGTCAAGATAGTTCTTACTGTTTTTTTAAAATAGCTAATTTTAACCGGCTTGTTTTTTTTCAATTACAAGACCAAATAAGACTGATAATTCCCGGCTTTATGCGTAAACTGGTTAAAAAATATAATTTACTTAAATAACGATGTATTTAAAATATTTCATAGTAATTAAACATCCCCAAGGTATTTTTGCTAAATTGCACCTGAGTAAACTACTAGAAGGTGATTGTAACGGGGGGTGTTTTTTAATTATTTCCTATAAAGAAAAGTGCAATCATACAGTATTATATGTTTTATAAAAGTGAACCAAAGTTTAAATTCCGCTAAAACAATAAAAAGCAACTGACAAGGCTACTAGCCGTTAAATATAATTCCAGCTGATTTCTATATTATTAAGATAAAAAACCGTCTTATTCCTTTCAGTTTAACAGATAGTAGTAAACAAAAACGTGCCAGGGAAACGTGTCTTATTCATTGTTCCCCTAAATAATAAGGTTGATAAAGCTTTCTGCGCCACATTATTGACTTCAATGAAGAGTCAAGAACTTTATTTTCATCTATTTTACAAAGATTTGAACTTAGCTTTGAAGGTTTAAACTAGTAACAATAAAGTGTTGATACATAAGATTTTTTATAGGATATCGAAACATTTTGAAATAAAAGAAAAATTTTTTAAATTTTTTAGAGGTTTACTACGAGCACTATATATCTAATAAAGTACTTTATTACTATAAGTAACTTTAAGCAGTGAATTAGTGAGTGCGAGGTAAAAAAAAGATGTGAACGTAGAATACTTTACTATGTACGTGTCCTACAATAATATAGATACTTCCTCACAAGTAATGATAGTACAGCTATCGTAGCAGTAAAAACACCTTTAGATTGTGAACCACATTAAAACCGAAGCAAAAGGTTTAAAAAACGCCTAAAATTTTGTTATCTTTTTAGTATTATAATAAATACTATTTTTTCTGGGATATATTAAAATAGTGTTTACACATTTACGTTTTTTATTTAACGTAATTTTTCAGAACTTTTTTTTCAGTATAAAAAAAAAATTTTTTATTTTTTTTACTTTAAATTTGATTATAGTTTCTTAACCCCATGAACTACCTACTATTTTGATATTGCGTATTAAAAAAAAATTAATTACTATCTATTTATATGTATCCTTTTATAACACGAAATGTCAAAATTTTGGAAAGTTTAATAAACTTTATGTGGTCTACTTTATCTATATAACTAAGTTTCTTCGGTTTGTTGTAGGTTTTCAAAGGGGTTCTGTCGTTAGAAATTATGCTTCTGTTCGTAAGTCGACTCTTCTATATATTAAAGTCTTATAGCTAAGATACAATTAAACTCCTTTTTTTAATTACTTAACACGGTTTAAACTTCACAAGTATCAAATTTTAAAAAAAATTTGGTAGTTTCTCTAAAGGTTTTTGGTGCGAGAAGCCTCATAACTTTTTGTTTTTATAGCGGATATTATATAATATTATAATTAAGTGAAAATATGTAAGAAAGTTATATGTTTACGAGATTGACAGAAACTGGAACTGCTCATATTTATATCACTACTGCTTTGAGTCCTTTTACCCTTAGTGAGCTCTTCCCACCCCTGAATTTTTCAAAAGCGAAATAATAATATTTAAGTAAATATTAAAACTTTACTTTTATGGAGCTTATCAATTCAGTTTTGGTTAAAACTTTGGACATTTGTTAAGTTCCTCACAACTTTTAAAAAAAAGAATTCCAAAAAATTTTAGTTATTGTTTTTGAATTCCTGCAATGTCCACGAACTAAGTTAACTCCCTTACAAACTCACACTTTTAATAGAGTAAAATAGAACTTTAGTAAAAAAACACAGCTGAGCAATAGGCTTGCCTCCAAAACTTTGACTTAAACTTCCTCATATTAATAGACTACTTGATTTTCATAACTATTTTTTAAATTAAATTGTCTACAACTCAAGAGTTACCACTTAAGGTCATTATCAATGTTAACCTTTTTTTACGAAGAGAATAGCACATTTTTATTACTTCTCTGCTAATTTACAAAGGAAAAATATTTTTACCAACGATCAAAACTAAATCTTTATATGATAACTTTTGTTAGACAGTTTTGTTCCTCTCTCCCCCTAATTTACGATCGAAAAGGCGTTTATCATTTTAATATTTTACTAATTATTATCAGGCTTTTATTCTTTGCCTTCAAAGTAAAAAAAGTTCAACTGACCTTTCACTTATTGAATGCTCTACACAAAACCTGAATAACTCAAATTAAAATTTTGTTAGGAAAAGTAGCATTACTTTTGTGTAATATAAAGAAAAAAATACAGCGTCTATTATAGCTAAGACGTAAAGGAGTGGAGAAGTAAATTTCACGAGTGAAGCACTTACAACCAAATAAGCCCAAAGACGTCGCCTCGCCACGTTTGAGAATCTCAAGGCGTACTTGAAAAATTAAAGTTTTATTAAATTTATATTAAAAAAAAGCCGGCGTAGAAAATTAAATATAACTGACACAATTGGATTATTTTCAAAATAAAAACGGAATGAAAATCTTAAAAAAAACTCGTCGTAGACATGACTTAATTAAGTAAATTATTAAATAATAAAATCATCCACGTTAAAAGTATATGGTACTAGTAGTTCTCCTATAAAGTCCTTCGCTATTAATATTATAGGAGAGCCTAATTCTAAAAAGGTATGAAGGCAATCTCATTAAAAAATAGTATATATAAAAAGTGTATAAATTTTATACAAAAGTAATGAAAAAAAGTTTTTTTTAAGAAAGACATAAAAATATCTATACCCGTGTAAATATTCAAAAAATAAATAAAAAAATAGCCAACAGACGCTTTAATTTTGGTTAAGTATATATCGCCCTTAAACACTGAGTGGCGGACCAGCTCTCGTAGGAAAAAGTATCTACAGGAAAATTGTAACGAAACTCCTTAATAGTCCGCGTTTACAAGAGCGTTTTTTCTTAAGAAGCTGAATTTACGTGGCAATTGTTTAAGAGATGTGCACCCGTTTCCGTCTCTAAAAGCATCTCAGCGTCGCTGGAGTCCTCTTCTTTACTCTGAAGCGGCCGAAAAAAGCTTTCCAACGTTAATCCCTTCAAAGAACGTTTCCGCAAGCCATCCTCCTCAATACCACGAGGTCTCTTGAAAGAAGACGTCACGTGGTTTGAGACGTGCGAATGCTTTCGTTTCGGCGTGGCGGAGGTGCACGGGGAGACCGACAGATTAACCGGTAAGGCAAATTTGGGCGGGGACAGCGACTGAAGGTTAAAAGCGTCTAACAGTTCATCCTTGACTTGCCAGAGTCCAAATTTGTGCGTGGCGATATCCTTTATGGCTTTCAAAACGGTCCCTTTAGAGAGATGCACTTGTTCCTGCAGAAATCTTTCCACGAGCGCTTTCTGATATAAAGAAATTAAACAAGAAAAAAGAGTGGCGAAAGGAATGCAGTTCTGAACTTTAGCCTCGCCGCTGCCGTGAATGATACGCGCAAGTTCCTGTAAAGGCGGCCCCTCCAGAGCAGCCAATCGCTTCTTCTTTTTTAAGCCGTCCTCCAATCCAATGTCTCCTCCCGTTAGGCGAATAGGTGTCTGTTCAGCAGAGAAATGAGTTATAGATATTAATATATATGAAAAGGGAGAACCTGCTCAAAAGGTACTACGGCGCACGACGCCGCGAGAGCAGCTGCAGGGCCGTCAAGGAGGCTGATATCCCAAACACAGCCAAACACCAGCGGGGCTCCGCGTATGCACCCACCCGTCTGCCGAAAGGGGGCGGCTGAGTGGACAGATTGAGCGAAGAAGTGACTGGAGTGACCTTTTCTAAGTCTTGTTCGTTTGCATGAGGCTCGTCCAATCCTGAACCGCTTTTCTCGTCCTCCGACAAATAGCCGTGCGGCACTACAAACCCGTTGAACTCGTCTGCCTCGTCTGCTTCTTTCTCGTCCTCCTCATCGTCTTCCCCGGAAGTGACCGCCTCCAAGTCGCCATACTAGTGAGACGCTACTGCCCACATCGCACGTAGCCACACATGGGGAGAGACTACCTCCCAGTCCTCTTCGCTGTCGCAGTCGTAGTCCCGAACGGCATCGTCTCTGCGGAATGGCCGCCGCGGGCCAATCGTCAAGCTTCGCAGTTGCAGGGGCCCGTTACAAGCCGGCCTCAGACTCTCGTGGAAGATCAGATACTTCCTTGTCCTTGCAATCTATTGGCTGTCAGCAGGGCGTCCAACAGGGTCGGGCAGAATGGGCGACCTCGCTGCATCTCAGCTTCCAAGAAAAGCAGGGCCGCCTCTCCTTCAGTAAACTCCGCAACACCATCGCAGGCCACGTGTCGGGTGGGGCTTCCAATGCAGCATCCACCATCTTGATCAAGTCCGGCGAAATTTCTGCAGAAGTATAATGCTTGTAGGATAAGAAATTGCAAAGATGCACTGTAGAGACCTCTCCGCTGAGCAGAGGCTAAAGTGTAATTTTTTAAAGGGATCCATGCCGGGCAGTACTCCTCGAACGGAGTCAGAGGGGTTCTAGCCGGAACTCTAGCCTCTTCTCTGTTGCACTATAAATCATAGTCACTTAATGTCTAAAAACTGTGAAATACCAACAACGAGCACCAAAGCAGGGATAGGCCCAAAAAACTCCTTAAAAGCTTGCTGTTGCTTTTCCTTATGTTTTTTTAACTGAGTAACTTCCTTTTCTCTTTCTTGTCGCTCTCGTTCTTTTTCTTCTTCTATCTTCTGCTTGTAAGCTCTACTTTATAAGTGAAAGATTGGAAAATAGAAAAATCCGTATCAAAAAAAACTTTTTCTCCTCCTCCTGCTTCACTTTTTGTAGCCGTCTCTCTTCTTCACGTCTCTTTTTTTGTCGACGCTCCTCTTGAATGCATTCGCGTTGCAGTCGTTTCTCTTCTATCTTTAATCTCTTTTCTTCAAGCCTGAAAAGTTCTTTGCTAATTTATCTAATAAGATCTTTAAATTTTGATTTGCCTTAGAAAGCGTTCAGCCTCGCGTTTTTCTTTGTTAAGGCGCCTATCCTCTTCTTTTTGAAGTCTCTCTAATCGTCGTACTTCCCGTACTATTTCTTTTTCTTCTTTGGACAAAGTAGAGACAGATTTACTAATATAACAGCTTATATAATTTGGTAAAACTTGGTTTAATTAGAAAGGAAAACCTACCTTTCGTTAAGGTCGGTGTCTACAGGCAAAGTCTCCCTCAAATTTGCATTAAAGCTCTATTAATTTAAAGAAAAACATAAAATAGAGTGGCAATTACTTAAACTTAAAAAATATGTAGACTTTTATAGAATACTGACGGATGTAGCAAAGGCCTTCGGATCAAAATCGCAAGATGTCTTAATATTATTTAAAAAAGAAGAAATTTGATTCACAAGAGCTGACATTTCTGCACGGGAACAACAACAGTAAAACTTAAAAACATCTTAACTTAATAAAAAAACTTTCTTCCTTGGGATTTAACATAATCCGATATTAAAAGGGTACAGTTTTCATAACAAATAAAAAAAGGAAGGCGGGTTGCTAGTATAAAACCCCGAATAATTATTATTTATTACGAAAGTATCATGAAAAAATAGATATTTCGCTGGCTGCGGGAGACTGCGAGCTACACGATCAAATAAAAACGATTAGTGGCCAGTAAAAAGTATCCATCAGTCTTTAGTTTGATACAAGCGATCAGTTTATGTTGAGGTAAATAAAGAAAGTAAAGGTTAACATAAAAATAAAAAACTTAAATATAAGCAAAAATTGTTAAAGAAATTAAAAACATGAGAGAATGACTTGATGTGTTGTATGTATAATAAGTAGTTCACTATTTTACTTTCGGGTAATTATAAATAAAATGATGGCAGCATTAAATAAAGTAAATAAAAGTTAAACTTTCTTTTTAATCTGTGGTAAGTGAGGTAATCTTTTCATAATTCAAGCCCAAATTACTTTAAGTTGCTTTATGTATTCATTGTACATACATAGCTTATTATAGAGTTTGTATTATGAGAACAAAGAATAACTATCATTTTACCCCCGAGAAGGTATTGTGGAAGTACTCTAAAAAAGTTTTTGTAATATCTACTAAATAAAATGAAACAGTTTTCAAATATTTTAAATATTTATACTTTTCAATACATTGTAGCTTTAAATAGATTAACGGCGTGTATAATTTTAGCCTACAAAATCGACCGATAACTGCTCTCTTTCAAAGTTTTTAAACCTAGAAGCTAAGAAGGCACGCTTCCCCCCGGGCGGTCAAACGTGTGGTTTGCAGAGCAAGCAATCATGCTAAACTCAGACAAACGCTTTCTCAAAATAAAAAACATAACTCCAGTGACTTCATAAGTTGAAGGGACTTGGCGTCCATTTTGTTAAATGGAGGTTATTCAAAGTATCACGAGCGGTAGGCGGGCGCAGTTTGTTTGCTATGGATGCTGATCTCTGTCTCTAGTAGCATGCAAAGGTTATGACCGAGTCAATGAGGCAGTAGAGGTAAGTTATTGTTTCTGAAGGTATATCCTTCCTTGAGTCACTAAAGCCGAGTACTTTTCGTTCTGACCAAGCGTTTATGTATGTCTGGAATCTATTAGTGATGGTCAGCTCGAACAGTTCGCCTGCAGCAGCCAGGAGAAGCTTGGGAGAAATAGGGTCTATAAGAATTCTGGGGAGACACCATGTAGTTCGCACAGGGAAGCGAGTTCTCGGCGTAAAAGTGTCTTTCCGTGCTTTCGGCACAGTATCACCGTCATGCGGGATGGGTAAAGGCAGACACTAGCAATTTTTAACCGTTGTTAATTCTAGCTCCTCCTGCGCGTGGCAAGGTTAAAATGTAGCGGCTATAACTAGGATGTTAAATAAGAGAGAGGAAAATAGGCTTATTGAACTGTTGTACAACCGCATCTAAGAACAGCTTGGGGTTGGTAACGTTGTCTGCACGCCTATTTAGACTAATTAAAAGCGACGCCACGCAAGTCAATAAATAACATTACTGCGCGCTTTTTAGCTTAAATAAACTTAATTAGCTGCGGAGCACCCAGTAAATCTATTTCTTCAAAGTGGGCTCCAAAAAAAACCGTTTAAAAAACTACAAATATGAGGCCCGATCGTCGTCGCCCGCTGACCTATAACAATTTGATCTTTCACGGGTAAAGTGGTCTGCTAAGTCTCTATCTTGATACTGCAGGGCTGGAAGAAATACTGAGTTATGTCGAATTGCCCAATTCAACCACAATAGCAACTTCCTCATCACTGAGTATTAAGCCCATATTCTTGCAAAGTTTTAATGCGTCGAAGGAAGAGAGAAGCGTTTTGCCTATAGAGCAAACATCTATTCTTTTATACTGTAATTACTTATGCAGCTCATGCTTCATGTAAGGGCTCCTTTCTCGCTTCAGAATCGACACTCGCATATGCTCTAAAGGTTATATTTGAACACAAGTTAACTTTATACCAAAGTAGCTGAAGGAGAAGCTTATAGAACTATCAATGAACTTTAAACTGCCTGCAAAAAATTGTGTACCACAAAATAAATCAGTAATTATTAAATAACTTTTGGAGTAAAGTATAATGCAAACTTTATTATCTTTATTGTATTATTTAAAGTACATTGTAATACTAACGCCTTTGTAAATCAGTATTGTATAAAAAAATAAGAAATTGAATCATAAAGAACAGTTATTAGGTAAAAAAAGGTCTTCATCTAATTGTTTCGGTAATTTAGTACAAATTTCAAAGCAGCGCATTAAAAACCTTTCACTTCAATTTTTTTTATTAAAGACAGTAAGCAAAAAATCATCGCAAAGACTTTGAAAACGTGAAACAGATTTTAAAAGAAACAGGTACTTAAGCTTCCCACGAAAGACAATTTACTGGCATCAAATTAAATTTAATCGAACAAATCAATTTCTTCGGGGTTGCCCCCAAACGAATAATCAAGGCTAGAGTTGACGTCACTGGAGCCTTCAAGATTATCAGAGGAAAAAGAATCACTATTGAAAGCTCTTGACTTTAGACTACTCCAAGGATCTTCCAACATGGACGGCTTAAAGTATGACGTGCTCCTATCACTCCGCGTGGGGGTCTGTCAAGAGCAATCCGTTAGCACCATCTAAATTATAACTTTTTAATTAAACGCAAATCCGACGTTCTTTACCCGTAAAAAACTAGTTGGTTATGTGTAAGTCTATTGAAATCTTATAATCGAAGTATTAACTGAATTGAAAGTTGGCCTTTAAAACTTAAGGGCTAAACTAAATACCTATGGAATGAACAATCATAGACATAAGGCCAAAATATATGACAAAGTTAGAGAATCTGACAAGAGAAAAAGGTGAAAGATGCTAAAAGTAAATATAGACAAAAGTTTTATACTAACCAGTAATGAGAAAAATAACCTTAAAACGAGGAGAATTACCGCAAAGAGGAGTTCTTTGGTTGTTAGTACCCACGAAAGCCCGACGATCACGACCGCCGTAACCAAAAGAGTTAGAAGATTTTCTTTTTGTCGTTGAATAATTCCTCCAAGTACCTTTAAATACACAATTACCTCAAAATATTTTGTAAAAAAAATTATTTACCGGGAGGAGTGCTGTAATTAGGGCTCAAGTTTAGATCGCTACGAAAGCTTTTAGTAGAAGAATTTTCAGGGCTATTTAGATATTAGAATATATTACTCATGATAATTAAGAAAATGTTTTACAGTCACCTTTGGACCGTTCTCTTCGAATAGTTTTGTTTAGTAGAAGTAAAGGCTTATTTAAGTAAAAATAAAGTTTGAAGGTAACACACATTTGGTCTATAGGAGTAAAACCTGAGAGGGGACTTCTAAAAGAAGGAAAAAGAGTTAAAGGAGTTTGCTGAGTTAGTACAGAGTGTGGATGAGACGGAGAAAACGAGAGAGGAGATCTATTTTGAATTTTGGAAGTTGCACGATCAGTAGCACTTTTGTTAAAATCTAAGATTTGAGATTGAAAGTTTACACCACGGGTAGGAGTTTTATTGAAAGACACATTTTGATTATATATGACAGAGGGACTTTGAAAAGGAGAATTCGGCGGAGTTATACTTTCAGAATAAAATTCCTCAAAACGACTGACTCCGGTCACTTCGCCAGGAACAATAGTGTTATTAGGGTTATTAGAATAACTAATATTACTTGAACTCTTATTGTTACTACCAAAGTTAGTAGAGTTAGGCCTCATTACAAAGTTAGATTACAGTAAACAAAACATAAGCCCCTCTAAACTAAACTACAAAAAAAAAATTTTGTAAAGCTTAACTATGAAGTAGCCCCCAACAGGAAAAGGTCATTTATTTCTTAATTCAGTCACTCTCATTATGCGTATTGTAAGCATATAGTAAACAACAACCTTATTTAAAAACAGGCTGTATAAAAAAGGGGAAGGGAAAGCGAGCTTTTGGAGGAGGATCTTATTACGAGGGAGAATTAGCGAAAAGGCTGGATACTTAAGTCAACGAGTTTAAATTTATATTGAAGTTATTCTCTGCCTTGTAAAACGATAATGCAAAAATTATACGAAGTAATGAAGGCTGCAGAAAGAGATCATGGAGATTGGATTTTTAAGTAGCAGTGAAAAGTTCTAAAGCTGCTCATAAGAAGAAAAGTAAGGAGCTCTGCGTAGGAGTTCCAGGTGCGTACAAGCTCCTTTGACGGCTGATGACAATGTGCGTTATAAAAGTAATTTTATGCTCACTCCCCCTGAGGGACTAAAATCGCATAGGAGAGCAGCGTGTCTGGGACGTTATTGCGTTGTTACCGGTAATATATGAAGCGGGCTTAAGGTATGCAGGTCATTAAATTTAATTTGGATTTTTGAATGAAAATGGTATAGGTTACATTAAAATAAGAAGGACTAAAAGGAGTGGTTTTTGTTTTTAAATGACATAATTTATAGCGAAACGAAAATTGGAGAGCCATTATTTTATAAACGTAAAAAGTAAGAAAGAACACAAATGAAGTGATTCCCGTAGAATTGTGTGATTTAAACCGTTTATGTTAAAGAGTAATCCAATAGGCGATAGAAGACTTGATTTTAATAAAATCGATCTAAGTTGAAGACTAGAAAAAAGAATATCACTAAGTTAGAGCCGCTTATGAGGGTTTCGAAGAAAGATACGATGCCCCTGTGGTGTAAATATGGTGTAAAGGAGAGCGAGAAGAAGAGAAAAACCCTTTAAAGATTTGTATAAAATGATATGAATCGCAAGAACTTAAAAGTAGAAAAGCCAGCTTTTAAGTTTACCACATGAAAGAAATTAGATTGAGCACCCAAAAGGTATCTTAGAAGGTGTGATGCTTTCCGAGGCTTAGTAAATACGGGGTTATACAAAGACCTGGCATTCCGTAAAAACATTTATTAGTTTAAAGGTCAGAGAAAACAAAAATATCAGAACTTTCTATATTAGCGCCCTTTAAAAATTAGCGCTAATTTTTAAAAACTTGAATTTATGGGGCTAATAAACAGAAAAATGAATGTGAACATCATGGAAAATTATGAAGTTACTTAAAAGATATAAAAAATTGAATAATACGAGGTGGTTCGAGTGTGAGCTAACGAATCATAGATGGCAAGTGACTAAAACAGGACTTTCTTATAGGCTTTATATTATTAATGCTAGATGGAATATTGGATAACTACATGAGATTTTATGGGGTGGAGAGCGAGTTGGCATAAAGATGTGTGTAGCAAACATTTTTGGAGACTGATGTGCGTTATGTGGGTGTATATTAAGTTTTATTTCAGTAAAAGCACCGTATAGTTTTTATGAACAGGAAGTTTATAAATTCTAAAAAGAGACAGTAAAATGGATAGCAGACAACAGCAGTAGAATAGTAAAAATAAATAAATAAGCTCTCAATTTTTAAAGTAGCTGTTAAAGTTATTTAGAGAAAATGGACAGGAATAGGTAAATTAAAATTTTTTTAGTAACAAAGAGGGCGGATTCATTAGAGGTTGTTTGCTAGGGTAGAGATAAGTTGAAAAATGGTTTTATTTAGTTTAAAAGTGCGATCCTGCGTTAGTTTAATAACGAGTTAAAAACATGGGGTGCAGTTACATTTAGGGAAATATACTTAAGGGCTCTAGAAAATTTATTGCGGAGTCATTTTATAATGTCTTGGCTAAACCAGTTTAAATAACACGATACCCATACTCGAATAGGGATTCGCGATATAGGGCTGGGCATAACTGTTAAAAAAGTTAAATGCAGAAATGGTCGTTCAATGAAATTTAAAAGGTAATAAATCAACAGAATCTCTAATATTTTTGTAAACAAGGAGGTCATCTTAGAGATAGTAATGCTTGGAAGAATAATTTAAACTAGTATAAAGGTCTTTTGAAAATAATCTTACAAAGAGAGATATTGGAAGGATCCACACAGGTATACGATTCTATTAAAATAATCAAGTTGTTTTCGGAGTCGTCCCCCTATTACATGACGATTAAAGAGACTGTTAATTAAAATTAGTGGGGGAATTAAAAAAATAAGGGACGAGATAAAGAAATATAGAAATTTTTTTATGAAAGCCAAGGTGGGCAGTGCACAAGTTAAAGTAGAAAGGCATAAAGGCCACAGCTAGACAAAAAATGACAGAGGTCTTTTATAATGAAGTAAAGTACGTCAAAGTCTAAGAAGTTGCCGACACAGAATGCGTTAAAAATAACAGCTTGGGTTTCGTATTGTGAGAGTAGTTAAACAGAAATTTGGAAGGTAAACATACTTAAATGAGGTCAGTAAGGGTTATTTATAATAAATGTTATAAAGTATTGACTGCCTGGTTAATAATAATTATTGGACGCAGTTTTATAATCCTTTAACATAGCTCTAGCTAGAGGAGAAAAATACTTTTCTTCAGTGTTTTTAATGATAGAAAGAGTACATGCATCATTTAGGTGTCCACTGTTAGGAATGGTTAGGTCGGCTTAAGATGGAATAGATTTAAAACCCTTAAAAATTCCTGCATGCCTTGTTCGACTATGAACACACATTTGCGTCAAAGTAGTCACTCATTTCTGACGGAATGTTTACTAATATCGAATATAATTTGAAGAGAATCTAAAAAAGTAGAAAAGCTTAATCTACTATTTAATTGTAAATAGTAAATGGACGGGTGAATACGAGTTGGTCCAAGCGGGAGACATTCTGTCCAAAATTTTGTATAAATTTAATTATAAGAACTGAAGACCATTCTTCTCTTCTCTCGAACGGACTTTTTTTGAAGCTGTCTGTGTCCTGCCATGTTTGATAGTGAGTTCAGGCTGGTTTAACAAATAATTGTTATATGTGCACCTCTATGTAAAATATTTTTAATACTATATATAGTTTTCCCATACGAGATTCATAATGCGTGCCCATTGTATTTATAAAGAATATTTATACATATAAATAAAAGACGAACCACTAAAGTAGTAAAAGATACATGTATCCTCAACTTCCCCTCCCCTTCTCCATATCCGATGCGCACTATTATATATAAAAAAAGCGGTGTTTCCAGGTAGTGAAAACATAATTAATTTTTCTATATAAATAGTACTTTAGTGCGTATTATAAGGTTTATTAGGTTAATATTTTGGCTTAGAAGACAGTTTTTCCTTCAAGTACCACCCCACCATAAAATTAAGTAAGATAAAGCAGCAGAATATGTAAAAATCAAAACAAAATTATTTGATTACAACAATTATAAAAACTTTACTTAACCTTTATCAATAGTTATTATAAAATTAAAGTCTTGAATCGTTTAGTTTAACTTTTTTATACTTAAGCATAAACACCCCTTAACACTCTCTTCTAAAAGTGCGCCAGAAAATATACTAAAAAGGTAACCGCTCTATTATTAAAATTTTTATGGATCTTGCAAACTATAGGCGATCTTTTGAAAAAATTAATACTTACCGGTCTGTACTTTCGAAAAATTATATTGACTGCCTCAAAGGACTGAGGAACAGCGGGCGAATATCGTGCGCTTTTAGTTTAGTGCGGTAAAAAAATCAGCTACAAACCACCATTGAGTGCAGCGACTACTAATGCAAAACCGGCGGTCCCCTGGAAAACCGAGAGTTAAGGCGACAGGATTATGAATGTAGATAACTATAGATAATAAAACTTCATCATTAATCTTCCATTTATGTTTTTTCTATTGATGATTAAAGATAATGGAAACCCTGCAGGTTTTTATAATAATTTATGATTATCTATTTACAGGCATAAGGCAAAGAGATGAGATCATAATAAATGCCTTTTACTAAAACTATAATAATTCTTTTTTTGGTTGGCTCTTTACTTTAAATTTCATTATCTTCATGTTCTCTAATGCAATCAATACCTAGATTTTTCCCTATAAAGCTGTTTCGAAAAGATACCCATAAACGAAGTAACGCAAAGTTTGAAGGTTAAAAAATTACTTAACCTTAACCCATTTCTGGAGGAAATCCTCTTCCATTTGATTAGAGAGGTAATCTTAATTATTTGTAAAAAGGAAGAGTTAATAAATATAATAAAGTAAAGTAAGAATAAGTAAAGTAAATAAATAAGAAAAATACAAAAATTAAACATAAAACAGATGCGACTTTACTAATTCATATTCTGTTGATATCCACAGTTAACATAAATCTGGTAAGAGTTTTTAAAAAACCCGATATAAATAGAAATTAAGAACTCTCTATAAACTAAAGTTGTTTTTAAAATTTAAAAAGCATGTTTTTTTGATCAAGCTTTATGTAGTAAGACTAGGTCCATTATATAGGTCACTTTGGATGTTATTCCTTAAATTGCACAGGGAGTAACCTTATAAATAATACCTTTCTTTGACCTTTTCACTGGTATAGCTAATAAACCCAACCTTCTAATTGGTGAAAGAGGTACACCCCCACGCATGTTGGTCAAAGAAGCTTATGAAATGGATATGTAATGCATTTCATCTTGCGCACATACCAATCGATGTAACAAAGGTTATAGAGTCAAGTCCAAAAGAGCTAACCTTAAAGGTAGTTATAGCGCGTGACAATTTTATTTGTTATATGTATTTATGACAGTATGTAGTTATAACTACGCCTGTATTGCAAGAAATAATCCTACTTCGGTGCAAGCTCAAGGTAATTTTGTAAAGCTTGTCTCGTTTGTTTTCTCCAAGCCTTTAAAAATACCGCTGTTTAAATGCAGGCACTATGGCGGTGGAATCGTAACACATATCTAGTAAGGCGAGGCACTTTAAAATATATTACTTATGTTAATACTAAAGACGAGGATTTCTTTCTTTATTATATCTTGTCCAAAATATAATTAGTTTTTAACTGTACTTTTCAATGAATGAATTCTCATAACTTTTCAGTCCTCCCTTATTCAAACAATTCTTCTTTTATACCAGCAAAATTGGGAAGTTTATGTTACCTTAACTATCTTTTTGGTTATTGTAACTTGTTATTTAGGCATTGGCCCTTTATACAACTAATTCTCGGTGTCATATGGCCATTAAAATAATTTAGTCATTTATAATTTCTCACAAACTTCTTTTAATGACTCTACATTTTTTTTCAGCTTTTGATTCCTAAGTTAATATTACGTTCTGATTGGAAAATTTTGTATTTATCAAACTTTTTTAAAAACAAATATAGATTTGTGAGTAGGTGTTGCCTCTCCTTGGGCCCCCTTCTAAGCTGTATAAAATATTGTGAATTTTTTGTAAAAAACTCGCCTTTATCGCCTTTTAAATACTTTTTTAAAACTCCTGTAATTATATAAAATATCATTTGAAAATACATTATACTCTAACAAGCCCTTAACTTGACAGGATTTGATATTCGAGTAACTTATTAAAATATTTACAAACTTTACATGTATAGCGACAAAAAAATATATTTAGGAACATAAACATATAGAAAACTTTTTATTCTTATATTTTGATGTTAAACTATTTCAATTTAAATTTTTTCTCCGTTTAAGTTATCATTCCTTTTTATACCTAACTTAAACTTAATTTAAACTCATTTGAGAAGAGAGTTAGAGAACTTGTGGTTTTTACGGACGTTTATTAACGTCCTTAATGCTTTCATTTATTATATTAAGAATTTAAAGAGTTTGAGCTTTTGGTAGATCAAAAAATTTTTAAAAAAAAAAACAGCAAATTTAACTAGTAATAATTTATTAGTCACTGTGCCTCTGAAGGTCATATTTTTAATATATTTATGTGTTTTTGAAATTTACTTTTAAAGCTATCGTAATTGGTATTTCTTACCCTACTGTGCATTATAATAAAGACGAGTCACTTTTAAATTTAAATATCATATACAAGCACTTATGTTTATGATATACCTTACTGTCCATCAACTAAAGAAATTTTCTAGTATCTAATAAACTCCTTAGCATATTTAATACGTAAAACTTATAAAAGTAATTGCCTAGCAGGCTCTCGTTTAGGGCTGTATACTTTAAAATTTTTCTCTGCCCATACCACCTGCTCTCTCGTTTCAGTGTTGTCTGCCCATTAAAAGTTTAAGTTAAAGTGAATTCGAGTGAAATTTTATTATCAACATAATAAGTAGGTTTCGAGGGTTAGGGCTCGACATACAATAACAAATTTCCTGTCTCGTAGGGATCATTCATCTTTAACAAGGTTAAAAAAGCTAAAACTATATAATATAAGGCTTACATTTACTCATAAAACAATGACTTACGCAGTTAACAACTACTTAAAACTGTAAACTGAAAGTTATAATTACCTTGATCATTACCATGGTACACTACTACAAACAGCGTGGCACAATTGGTGTCTTAATAATGAATATCAGCTGGATGAGACAAATTGAAGAGGCTTTAACCAATATATAAGTACAGGAGAGTGAGGATTAAGGGTTGAGGGGAAATATATAAAGGAGACACGCAGTTTTCTCTCTCTCTTTTTGATTTAAGTTGCTTTTTGTGTGGGGACTAGCTCTATCTTGTGTGGTGTTATAACCTGGATAGTTTAATAAACAATATATTTGTATAGTTTTAGTCTTAAGTAAAAATTATTATACTTATATAAGTTATTGTTATGCAGTGTCACTATAAGAAAGTTATTGCTCGTGTGTCAATTTTATATAAAATTTTGGTTAGGTTGCTTTTAAATGAGCTTATTTTAAACATTTTTTAAATGGGACACAACGAGTTATATATATAGCTTTTATAAATGTTTATTAAAATGACTTCAGTGTGTGGTATAACGCTTGAAATTCGGTTTACAACATGCCGAGCGGTGTTTTGTAGATAATAATACACTTTGCCTTTTTTAATTCTTAATTCGACTAATTTTATAATACTTTAATGTCTATTATGTTAATCATTATATAATGTGCGAGCTTATTATAACCTATACGGATAATATACAAATCTAAAGATTTTTTATTATTATATTTTTTTGTTAGATACCCTAAATTTTTGTACTTGTAATCACCACAATTTTAATAAACCTTAATTTTAAAGCCAGCAAATTGTTACTTAAGCTTCAGGCAATCAAAGTGTAACAACTTTTACCCCTTCATGGGGTGTATGAATTATATAAAGTGTTTTACCTTTAAAATAAAACTCCCTATTTTCATGATACAGGTAGAAAATTTACTCCAAAAATTTTAAAAAATTAATCGTTAAATACCCATTAACAGTAATTATGTCTTTATCTGCCCACACACCCACAAGAGGTTAAACTCTCATTTTGTTTTACATAAACACCACCGGAAGTAGTAATTAAATTAAAGTTTTTAAGTGTCTTCAAATTGTTTTTTACTATAGTTGGTGTAAAGTAATATTGTTCTACGTATTGTTTTTATTTATTTTAACTTATCTAACAAAACTACAGGTTGATTTATTTAACATTTTGATGGAAGCAGATACGTATACCGTAAAATGTCAAGCCAAACTGATTCAAAAAAAATTTTACTGAAGCCAACGAATAAAGAAGCTTTATTAGAAGAGTAGTGTACCTTTGTATGTTATACAGTGGAGTTTTAATATCTCACTTTTTTATAGTGCCAGATTTCAAAGGTCTGTAGTCCCTTACATTAGCTCAGAGTTAAAACTCTCCTTCGAGTGTTATGAGTCTTTCTTTATCATCCAGTTGTACGAGGGTACGCTCATGAGTTCTATCTTTTATATAGCCTTAACGCGTAAACCAATATGACAACTTTACCTATATATTTTACTCATTATAGGTCACTTAGTCAAGTCGTACATCCCGTATTTGGTGAAGAGTACTGGTATTATGCTTTTTTTTTGTAATTTTATTATTTTTTATCTCAACTTAAATTTTAAGATCAGCCCAACTACCATAACTACCCAGAAAGTTATGTCTTCCATGCTCTTAGGAATTTAATTTTTTTCAACTTGATTTTCTATATTATTAGTTTTTGTGTTTATAGTAATTCGTCTGAACTCTTGGAAAAATCTTTTCTGGTTGAATTTATTGTTGAAACCGAAAATGGTTTTTTAAATATTGGTGTTTTAAGCGTTTTAGTTAAATTACATGAGTAGGAAGTGCCATCACTGTAAAATCTAAAATAGTAACATGTCCCGGCGCCACCATAACAAGTATTTTTACAAGTTTACATTCGTGCTCGTGAATAGAAGTGTATACTAACCTAAATTTTGATTAATAACTCATAACTTCCCCAGCAAGAATTGAAGAGATTAGCAGAGAATACCTTCCCATATGGAACGAGGCTTTAAAGATTGATCTTTCACCAATAGTTTTTCTTGGCAACTCAGAATCGAATTTTTCCTTTTTAACTGGTGTTTTAATTGGCTAGTTTTATAATGAATTTTACTATCTAACGATAGTCAATTTATTATATAATTTTTAGGTTTTTAGCTTTTATTAAACTTTTTATATTAACAACTTGAACGTTACCCATAGTTTTACTTTTTAGATTTTAACCATAATAAAAAATTCTTAAACGTTTTTAAGACAAATGTTTATATTAAAAGTAATCTTCATCGGCCTTATGAATATTGTTGCCTTGACTTTTTTGGATGTAAATAATGATAGCTATAATCTGCTTTCCTTCTTAATTATTATATTAAGGAAAAACAATTATTTAGATAAAATAAAACTAAGAGTTATACTACTTGTGGACTCACAGAGGTCCTTTGAAACAGAGCTCTGCCTTTCTGATGTTGCTACTTTATCTGTACGGTTATATTAAACATAGATATATATATATGTATGTATATGTATATTAATCTTACTGTATAAAATTGATTTTAAATTCATAAATTTTTTTCCTCTTTTTTTATTTTAAAGGCTAGCTAAATGTTTGTAGTTATTTTAAATTAAATTAAAGTACTCGAATGTTTGAGTGTGGCTATAAGGATTGAATTATATTTATTCTATTTGTAAAATAAGAAGTGAAGTTTTTAGTATATATTATTCTTCGAGATTCTTATTAAAAGTTTTTTTACTTGATTTCTCCTATTCTAGTCACGCAAAAAGACGTATAAGCTTCACTATTTTTTTCCTAAAAGTGGTAGAAATTACAAGAGAGTTAGGTTCCTTCTTATATATTTAATAACTTTTGACTTCTAAAAAATACTTTTTTAGAAAAGCTTATGGAGCTACTATTTACCATTTTATCAAATCCTTTTCCTTGAGAAAGTTATTCTCTCTTCAAACATATTTCATTTTGATGTCATGCTTTTTCGTTGTGGTGACGCTTCTCACCGTCGCGATACTACTTTATCAAGCTATTAACGATCATCTCGAGCAAACTTCACAAAGCGCTTCCCAGAGAGTTTGAGCACCGTATTTTGGTATTACGCCTTCTCTCTCACTTCTTTTTTCTTTGCAGATTCTTTTAAACACTGCGTCAACCTTTGAACTTGTTCTCCAGTCAGGTTTTTTAATTATG